AAAGGTGTTCTTCTTCTCCACTACAATGCACGTCCACATGTGGCACGTTTGACGCAACGCAACACAATATTATGGAGTTGGGTTGGGAAGTTCCCCCCCCCCCCACCATATTCTCCAGATACGGAACCATCATATTACCATTTTTTTCGTTCGCTGCAACACCATCTTAATGAGAAAACGTATGCAGATGTGGAAAGTGTTAAATAGGACATCGACATGATTTTTGCTTCAAAGCCAAGTGATTTCTTTAATCAGGGCATTAACAACCTGATTGTACGATGGAAAAGCATCAGTGAATGGAGATTATTTCATTTAATAAATGCTTTGTTCTGATATATAAGTTGTTCGGGTGTTTTTATCCAGAAAAAGGCGACATTAATTTCTTAACGACCTGATAGTTATTTTTAATTTTATATATTTCATTTACCACAAAAGCATTGTTTCTAAAATATAAGGGCGCTGTTTTAGGGCACTGAAATTTTGAGCCAGCGAGCCTGATTCGTACCAGCGCGATACTACAATATCCCCTCCCTTTAATCTGTGTGTACGTTAGAGGAGTGACAGTCAATCCCTTATGATAGTTTGTATGGTGCTGCTGCCTTACCGCTGTCCAGTAATTCAAAATTAGGAACGGCGACAAATAGCATTAGTAGTTTTGCCATGAATATAAAAACTAAAATGCATATACAAGTTAACAATATTATGCAAGCTATTATAAGCATGCTATTAAAGACATTCCCAGAATTCTTGCTTCTTCATTTTAAAAGTTGTATGTTTACTGTCGTTCTTGAGCGTTGAACCTGAACTTTATTAGTAACTCAAAGACTTCGATGGAATATGTGAGCTGCAAAACAAAAATGAAAAAAAATGACGTAATTATCATGGTAACGTGTAAACAAGAAGTAAAAACAGGTGGGAACAAACAGAAACAACAAGTTCTTGAATGCAATACAAATTATTCAGTGTATTAGAATAAATGTAAAACACATGAATTATGTAAATATATGTAGTGGGAAGACTACTCCTAGCAAATTAACAACATAAAGTACATATTTCAAAACGGATGTGTTGATATGTTTTGCAGTGTATGCTTCTATGAGGATTTTTGAAAGTTTAATAATATAATTCATATATATCCTTAAATCTCTAAATTTCGAATAATCAGAATATCTCAAGTTATATTTTTAGTATAATTTTCCATGAAACTTGCCATCTGTATAGTTTTCCGAGCATATCTTCCTAACTGAATAGTTAGATTATTTTTTCGAAATTTTAAATCTAACAAAACATAATTTAAGACTATTTGATAACACAAGTAAATAAGGGTTCAAGCCGAAACCGATCCTTAAAACGTCTATAATTGAATAATCATCAGAATTAATAACATTATTTTTTTTTAATTTTGCTGAAATAGATCTGTAAATTCTATTTTAAGAATTGATTATATCTTTTCAACTTTGTTAAAGTGCTGGTTACCCAAGACACAGATTATTCTGAATAAAGTGCTGGTTACCCAAGACACAGATTATTCTGAATTTATGGGAGATCTTTTGTATACAACATAATCACGAGAAAGAGTATTCGCATTTAGTATGAGGAGTAAAAAAATACTTTATACACAATAGAATCTGGCCAAATAAACCACCACATGAGTTTTAATAATTATGTTTATTAGGACTTACTAATATTCTTCATAAGTAATATTATTCAGTATTGAAGCTTTTAAAATCATGATCATTTTACAAAACTTCAGATGAAACGCTTCCATGATGTTGCAATCTTTATAGCTTCAGTCTTATAAAGTAATCGGAAATAGCATCATATCAAGTAACTATCTTATTAGCTATATTGAAATTTAATTTCATACTTTTCTGAATACTGAAACATAACCTTAGTCGCTTTCTGCACTTGATGTTTCCTATTGAAAATGAACTATTAACTTGAAAGTTGCACCTAAGTAACTGACATCATCAATCAACTAAATGGACTATTTGGTCGTTATAAATAAAGAAAGGGCCATTGTTTTTGTTTTTCCTCTTAGAAAAATAAATATATTAGTCTTACTAGAATTACCTTCTAGAGACTAGTACAGACAATAAAAATACATGGCATTAGGGTTTTTTTGTATATCGTCTGGAGTTTCTGCTAAAATAACTATATTGTCTACATATAGTAAAATAAACAGTTTAAGATGTACATTCGTATCACCAGGATATTAGTTATTATGCACTAGCTCAATAATATGATTAATACCGTTATTTCCATGTTGCATAAAATCAACCAAATCATTTAAGCGCTGTTATTGAAACATGTTAACACTGTTGAGCGTAAGCTTGATGATGACTCCTAAAGAAGGTTTAAGCCTATCTCATATTGAAACAAATGTAGGCAATATATAGACGTGGTGTAAATCCGTTTTGTTTATTATAATCCCTTTAAATTTTGTTTGTGTATCATACACATTAAGTAACATGATATGCGTTTTACAGTTTAACTTTGGTAATTTGAATATTTATTTAAATCAGCTTTGTTTATTATAATCTAACCAAAACCACCTTAGGTATGAAAAAAAAGGTGTGGTCAAAAAGGATTGAGCGTGCGATTTAAAGGAATGAAATCAAAATTGGCGGCCAAACTGGTAGCTACATTTATAGAGTTGATAAGAATTTTACAGCAAATATTCATTCATTAGTTAGCCAGGCCACGTTTTTTGTTCAACTTGGAGCATGATGGTGAATAAAACGGACTTTTACTTTACACATCCAACCAGATTATTTAAAATATATGATAATAGTTTTTCCTCTCTAAAACATTGTTAATAGATTCTTTTATAGTAACGCCATAGAATTTAAATTAACAGTTTTTTGTCATCACCTTATGCAATCAGTACAGCCGTATTAAACATAATTATTTATGCTAATTGCTTAAGCTAATATCATGTGACGCTAAATGCTCTTTAATTAGAATAATTTCATAAAATTTAGTAAGTTTATGCTGAAAAGTTAGTAACGAATAATCAATAATAACCGTCTACCCGTATGATTATTTTGAAAACTTGAGCTAGAAACTACTAATCTAGTTTGCTTGGCCTAAAAAATACTTATGTATCCGCACGTCCTTTCACTCTATAGTTTTGCTGGTCTAAATCAGCTGTCTTTAATCCGTATGACAAAAACTAAAAACGGTCCACTTTTATCATTAGGTGAAGCTGTAGTGAATATTTTAGACCGATAGCTCACGTGAAGTTTTACGTAGGCGTCGCAAAACTTTTCGCGAAATTTGAGCGGTTTTTCTTGAATAACTTTGTTCATGCGGCTTATATTTATATCAAATGAGAAACTCCTCGTTATAGGTTAAAAAGATCTATCAGTGTTACAAATCAGAAAAAACCCATAGAAGTTAAACATGTTTTTATATCAAATAAAGTTTCCGTACTTTTGGTGCGAAGAATAAGAAAAAAAAAGGAAGAAACTTAATCAAAATTGGAGATGTTATATCTCAGGTATTTCCTAATGGATTGCCTTGAAATTTGGTATGCAAAGTAAGAGTCTAGCAGAGCACGTTTACTATAAATATGTGATAGCTTGGATTACCACAGTCCGAGCTACAGAATGTGTAAAATCACTAAACTATCACTCCTGTTAATAACACAAAGTGTGTCCTGCATTTGATAATTAGTCAATAGGAGGTTTAAACATGAAAACATTTTAAGAGATATTGAATTTAAAAAAGTTGGTAATTGCTCAGTAAGTATCTCGGATATATAAAACAGATTCGAATCTCACTTAATTATTCTGTATTGTACGTTTTGATACCTTCTGAATGATGAATGTTAATTATTAATTATTTTTCTGTTCATCATTTAGTTTCTTAGTTTCAGCTACTGAAGTTCTTGAATTTTGTATTACTTAGCAACTTACAAATAAATAATCCATTCTTTTTTTGTATGAATGTTTTTTATATTTGAAAAACAATTAGACCTTATTCACTTTGAGATACAGAACTCTCAAAATTAATTGGTATCTTTATGTAACTTTATCGATCAAGGAATTTAATTAGTTTCCAAAACGTAAATGATGATATAAATACTTTTTTTATAATAGATGTCAAATATTTGGAAGTTCCCTTTAGAAGCCTACAAAAGAATCTTAATTCGCCTAACAGTTCAAGGGAAGAAGTGGTGAAAGACATTTTTGTATCTACGTCATTAAATGGAGAGACCAATAAAACTTTCGTAAGACTATGTATAAACTCTGTTATTAAAATGTACATTTATGATATGAATAAATTTTCCAAGTGTATTATAAAACTATGTTTACAAACAACTCTTTAACTCTTTGAGCTTACGGAGTTGTGCAATATTCTTCTGTAATATCAAATAATATTTGGTTATTTTATAAAGTTGGTTCCACAAAATCACTTAAAAGCTGAATATTATATCGTGGATAATAATATTTGCAGAAGTGCATATCAAGATTTTAAGTACTTACTAACGAGTACTTTTTCATATTTCAGTTCCATAATATTAAATTATAACTATGATTTCTCTTTCTTGTTCAATAAGTTGCAGACGCGTTGGTTTCTAAGAGGCGTGGTATTTACAACTGAATTACGAAGAACAACTCTTGAAATCTTATTTTGTGAGATTCAACAAAAAGTTCAAATTTTTCTTTTTTTAAACTTTACAGTGGCCTTTCAGAGTTTTTATTTTGTATAAATTGGTAGAATGTTCATTAAAATGTTTTGTAATACCTTTAATATTTTTTTTTTATCCTAGAATAACTCTGAGGTCATTTTTCTTCTAACATCTGTAATTGATGCTCATAATGAGATTGAAATATAACCGCATAACTCTTTTTTTAAACTTATTAAATATATAGCTTCAATATCGAATTGGATAGCTCTGAGTATGTTAGTATTTATTTCTCCACAGCAAAACTATGTTCAAGAAACCGTGACTTAGGAGCAAGTAGTCTGTAAGTGTCATAATTGGATCTTCAAAGTATCAGGTAAGAAATACACGAGAGCTTTAATGGTATGATTCAAAGCTGAATAGATTCTCTTTTGATATACGTGTACTATTTATTACATTGACTTCGAAATTTATAGATACTAAGTTTACCAGATGCTTTAAAAGTTACGATAGAAACCATTCTATGCCAGTAATTTACCTCGGCTACAAATTTGAAATATTAGTTCACAACCACTTACAAAACCTGTAATATCAATTAGATTGGAAAATAGAAGCATGTGGTATCTTCACTGTAAACTGATTTCTGCACGAATATGTAATAAATTCCAAATATAGATTCCCGAAGGATAATTACAGAATAAATTTGAACTTAACTTCTATTGAGTTTAAGCTATGAAAATAAATATAATGGAGCCATGGTGTAGAGAGTAAAGCAACCTTTATTTGAAATGATTAAGCAAAAATACAGTATGCGTATTCACGTAGACACTGATCAGTTCCCTATCATGGAATCAATCAACAGTTATGTTCCGCAAGATGTATTTCCGTAGAAACTTTTGTATTCTGACAAAGACCGAGGATCCGTAACAAACAAGTGTAAACACGTGACTGGCTGTTCTCTTGCAACATACAAAAGACATATTGCTTAGCCAGTGATGGAAATTGCTGTTGATGATGTATCCTACACAATGTGCAAAGTTGTAGCAAATTTTTTCGTAGGCATAGTAGATATTATCTGCTAGAGAACAACAAAGAAACAAGGTTAACTAGAATGAAACAACTCAACCATTATCTGGACCACATGTTTATGCCTAAACTGCATGGAGTCAAATTAAACGAAACATTTGTTTTAATTCCTGTATCAATATACGATGGCGGAAAACACGGCATGCCTGCTTACCACATTTTATGTATAGTAGCACCTTCAATCACTAATAGAACCTAAATTTTTAAAAATTAATTTAATTTAATTTAATAATTTCAAATATTTTAAATGCACAATTGATCTTTTTATACTCACATTTTATACTACAGAACATCAACTCTTAAAACATTTTTCCTTGACAAATTAAAACTTCTAACAATAAAAAAATTCATAATATAATTTCACGAATCAAACAATTTTGATAGTAGGTTGAAACATTAATGAATGATTGCATATCAGCTCCTGCTGTCCCACAGTTCGAGTTTTACACACTATTGCCTCTACAGAATATTATTTCGGGTTGTTATATTTGTTATCCGTTCCATAGATGCTAATAATGATTAAGCATGTTATATTGTTTTACCCTTTAAATATTTTTTGCTTATTTAAATAGTCGTATGTTTCACGTTTAACTGATGAGCCTGATAAAATGGCATTAGTGTTTGTCTCAATTTTTGTTTATTGTTTTACCTATCTGTTCTAGAGTGTTCGTAATAAAAGATTTATAAAAACTACTATACTTTATATACAAACAGTACATAGGTAGAAAATAGATAATCATTAAAGGGTTCAAAGTTAATAAGGCAAAGCTATGAACTTTTCAAAAGATAATTACTTCATTTATATTTTAGAATTTGTAAATGTCAATGGGCTATGCGAAATAGGCTAATCCATTCCTTTGTAATCATATCCCATAACAGAAGTAAGTGTAAATAAGAAAAGACTTGTTTTAGCAGGAACTATTGCGTCACGAAGAACTACATAAGTTTCGATGTATTCATTAGTTTTATAAATTTTTAATTGTTTGTTATTCTAAAGAAGTTTTGAGGTAACGAAGAAAGATCATTAATTGATGATATACATTTTTAAATGTCATCTTGCTACAGGTGTGTATCCACATTCTAGATTTGAGATATCCAGTATTTGGTGGAAGAATTTTCAGGACCTGTTGGAATTTTGTGACCTCTCTTAATGTTCTGTTGGCTTTAATCATTTACATTAACTGCAGTCTTTGTTTTAATGTTTACTAGTGTAATTAATTCTGTTTGACAAAGATATCTAAAAACTTGTCTCGCCATTACGTGTGCCTTGAAATTACAGTCGGCTGATGACGCAAGTCAAATGTATAACACTGAATTCTTAGTCTTTTTGATTGCAGTACCACTAAAATATATAATAGGATTTATAATGATTGTTTCTGATAAGTGTTACATAACTTATAAGGAATTTTCTTTTGTCTGTTTGTTTTCAGCAAAATGCCATTGTCTATAAGTAAACACCAGGCATCTTATTTGTAATGTTTAACAAATAGTGAGTAAATTATAAAGAACTATGCTTGAAAATACGGACTTTAATAAATTTGGATGAAACCACAAGGACGCACAGAACATAACTGTATTGCTTGCAAAAAGCCTTCAGACAAGTTATTTCACAACATTAATGTTATGTGTATCATACTATTCAGTGTAAATATGTTTCTTTACAGATGTATACTGTTTAAATTCAGATATTCAAAACCTTATATATGTATGTAGTTTAATAAACGTGTTGAAGTAATGAAAATTGTGTCTCATTTATTATATTGTGACATTATTTTTCATGCTAAGGTTTCCATTTTCTTGAAAGATAAAACTAATAGTAGTTAACAGAAGTTTCATGGCTAGAGGTTTCTCAATTTGATCATTTGACACAAAAGACGCATCAAAATCAAACAATAAGTCAAATACAAATTGATACAGTTGTACTTGCCCGGCATGGCCCGGTGGTTAGGGTACTCGTCACGCAATCTGCGGGTCGCGGGTTCGAATCCCCGTCACACCAAACATGCTCGCCCTTTCAGCCGTGGGGGCGTTATAATGTGACGGTCAATCCCACTATTCGTTGGTAAAAGAGTAGCCCAAGAGTTGGCGGTGGGTGGTGATGACTAGCTGCCTTCCCTCTAGTCTTACACTGCTAAATTAGGGACGGCTAGCGCAGATAGCCCTCGTGTAGCTTTGCGCGAAATTCAAAACAAACATACAGTTGTACTTGAGTAGTTTGTAAAGTATTTCAGCCATCTGACAACAGAGGCAAACTTTCAGTTATTAAAGAATTTAGATGATCAGCAGAAAAAAAGGCACAGTCGTAAACCAGCACCTAATGAGTTTCTTCAGTTATGTATAAACTTATGTATTCAAGATAAGCATGTTCCTTATAGAAAAAATGGGTGTCTGCAAGTAAAAAATTAGGTTGGCTCACAAAAGGTATAAAGGATGAAATTATAGGAAAAAGTATTATGAATATAAGAAGTTTAAATTGATTGCAATGATAAGAAATTTGGAGGATTATAGAAGATCAAGGAGAATTGATCAAACAGGAAATAAGGGAATAAAAACTATATGAAAAAAGGTTGGTTAAAAATGTAAAAATAAATAGCAAGGAGTTTTTTAAAATACATTAAGGTTTAGCCAAATGTTAGGATGAGAGTAGAGCCTTTGAAAAAGATTATCAAATTATCAATATTGGGAACTTTAGAAAATGATAAAGTTTCCGAGCCAGATAACATTTATCCAATGGTTTTGAAGGATGTTAAGGAAGCAGCTTGCTACTATTTTTCTTAGTCCTAGAACAGTAGGATTTCAATGGAGGTGAAAAAATTGTTCTAGTAACTATAGGCCTATTAATTTCACAACAGTAGTAAGAAAAACTTTTAAAAGACCGAAAAAGGTGTTTCGTAAATTCATTTAACAAAGTTTAAAATTTTGTAGAATAGTCAACATGGTTTCACTTACGTTACTAATATTTTGACGTGTTGGAATAAAAGATAAAAGTACAGGTGTGGAATTGGTGCATCTTGATATTCCAAAAGCATTTGACCAGGTGCCACACACGAGGATTGTTAAAATAAGTTAGCTCTGTAAGTGCAGGGGAATAAATTGGCTTTCTTGATAAAAAACTGGCTGGATGTAAAAAAGCAGAGAGTTGTTATAAATGGCGTCCAGTCAAGCTTGATTAATATCACAAGTGGGGTACCTCAAGGCTTATTGTTAAGGCCTTTGCTATTTTCGATTTACATTAATGACAAAGATAAAGGAATGGTCAATAAATTATTTAAATTTGCTGATGATATTAACGTTTTGGGTGTCGCTGGCTGTGAGGATAATGCTTCTGTCTTACAAAATTATTTGAATTATTTAGTAAGTTGAGCGAATAAATAGCAGGTGGCTTTTATTTATAATAAATGCAGAGTAATGAATGTGGGAGTAATTATGAGTATAATTTTATGGGAATAACCTTAACTGTGTAATGGAAGAAAAAGATCTTGTTGTTCTGGCTTGCCAGTCTCATAAGCAATCCAAGCATTGTACTGTTGCTAGTAGTAGAGCAAATACAATTTTTAAGTTGTATGTGCAGACATATTGAATACGAGTCTAAAGATATTATAATTTATTGTATGGGTCATTGATAGACCACTGTAGGAGAACTGTATTTAATCTATGGCACCTTTGCTTAAGGAGGACATTGAGTTGTTGGAAAAGGCTTCTAGGATGGTGCTACTAGAATTATACCTGGGATAGAAAGGTTGTCATACGAGGATAGGTTAAGAAGATTGATTAAGGGAATTGATAGTGTTGATGCATCATCTTTTTTCGTATTTAATGGTGTAAGTGGTAAAACTAGAAAGGGTATGAGCCATCTTCAGCTTAGACAGCTCTACTTTTCTAACAGGATGGTTGACCCTTGAATTGGGCTGCCTTAAGATGTAGTAAGTGCAAGAGTTCAAGGTAAGGCTTTATAAATATTTGAATGATAAGGGTAAACTTAGTAAATTTAAATTTTATTTTCGATTTTAGTATAGTGGGACTGCCTAGATGGGGCCAACAAGTGTCTTCTTGTTCTTAAATTATATATATGTGTATGTAAAGATCTCTGTAAAAGTATTATATAAAGTGCAACATTTCTCATGCTGTGGATATAACAGATTTAGATCACATTCCCAAATGTAACATTTATTCAGTGTATTCACAAATCTTACACAAAATCCTATACAAATCGTATACCTGGTATTCAATATATAACCTGCGCATACAATACAACATAAATTGTAAACAATTCCTTGACGCCACATAAAAATCCCTGTTTCATTTACCTTTTTCGGATAACGAGTGTATTGTCGTATCATAAACCAATAAAATTATTTTAGGTTCTCATGTGATCAAAGGAATATCGTTAGTTTTTATATATTCAAAAGTTCTCACAACTATTTACACGGAAATGTTTATGATTTGTTGTTTCGTCAAATAATAATCGAAACCTAGGCCCATTTTTTTTCTATGTAGCAAGTGCAAAGCTTAATAAACGAGTTTAATTTCCGTTTGCTAATGATGAACGTTTATTCACGTTTGCTTTTTGTGCTTCTTTTATCGAATTAATATTTCCGATTCCTAAATTTTAATTCAAAAGCTAAGTTTACCTTCAAATTAGGCAATTCTTCATGCCAAGGTTATAAAAATCACATCAACCTTCTGGGCATTTTTAATCAAAATGAGTTAGAAGAACAATGATAAACAAAATACTTGTCCATGTTAGCAATACATGCAAGAGCGCATTTATTGAAACTGTATAGCGAATAAAACGAATGCCATGATACGAATGAAAGATCAAGAAAATATTGCGTTAGCTATTGTATGGCTAGAAAAGGTTTTACGAATGAAAGATCAAGAAAATATTGCGTTAGCTATTGTATGGCTAGAAAAGGTTTTACAATGTTAAGTCGAGGATAAAATTTCACGGGAATAAAGAAACAAAAATATAGATCTGAGTTTTAAGCGTACCAATAATGTTTTTATTATGGAAAATCTCACACATAAAAGCATAAACATAATACAGTAGAATTAAGAAAACGTTAATTTTATGTAACCAGTCAAACAAACTTATGTGTATCACAGATAAAATAAATGAAAAAAAAAACAACAACAAAAGAACATCCAAATAAAAAACAAAACTCAAACGGCAAGCATTCGAATATTTCCAAATTTTTAAGCAGACGAAGACATAATGAAATTGCTAAGACATTGAAAATGTGTTTTTACTCTCAGCGATTGAAGAGGAGAGTACAAATAATACTCTTATTTCTTTTTATTTATCTACTTCATTTCCTCTCCAATGTTCCATCAGATAACATACTCGTATCAATAAGTTCTCATGCCACGTTTACTCTAATCCTGTACTAAGTATAATCGTTAGATAAATATATTTTGCTGTTACGATGTTTCTTAAGCATCGTGATAGCTAGTAATAGAGTCTACAGTACTGCCAGTTTACGTAAAATAGGTTGAAGATGTTACTTTGAATGAATTTTTATTTGTTTGTTTTGTTATTAAACACAAAATTACACAATAGGTTATCTGTGCTGTGCTGTCTGTAACCCAAAACTAGGAAGCATTAGCACATTTTCTCTGAGTGTAAAAAACCACTCATGTAAATCGATTTCTCGTTAGTCTAAATTTAACAGTACTGCGAGAAAAGTCAATAAAACATAAAGTTATTTATATTATATTATATTCCTAACTTTGAATAAACAGCATAGATAAAATAATTTGACTTTGAAAAAACAGCATAGATAAAATAATTTATGTTCAGCAAGAGTTTTATGATATTTTCATCACATAACTAAACCATTTTAATATATTTTGAGGCAGGGTTTGTTTGTTTCTAATTAATCACAAAGCTACACAATGAGCTATCTGTGCTCTGTCCACCACGGGTATCGAAACCTGGATTCTAGCGTTGTAAGTCCGCAGACATGCCGCTGTGCCACTGGGGGCTTGGAAGGAGGGATGTGGTCTAGTGGTTATCTGTGTTTGTTTTAGCGCAAAAAAACATAATAGGAATATCGGCGCTCTGTTTACCACGGGAAATCTAGCCCAAGATTTTAGCATTATAAGTCCGTAAACTTATAACTGGCCCACTTTTGTCTTATATATTTATATGATAATCAAAGGTAATATATTTTGTCTTTAATTTTCTTTAATAAGTTTATGGCATATCATTGTTTTTCTGCGAATACATTTGTTTGTGCTCACTCATATATTATCTGCCCATTACACCAAATGAAATATGTTTGTATAATATATGGAGTAAACCAAAATGCTACAGATACTTACTACTACTACGTCAAAGAACTGCATCTGCGTCGAGTTATGTAAAATGAAACGGATAGGGCAAACTAAGATAAAAAAGTACATTTATACATAACTGGCATAAAACAATTCTATACAATAACAATGTTTTGCATTAAACTGCAACGCCTTGAATTCTAAGCCACCCCAAAAGACAGTTCTTTGTGTTAGTTGGAATTCTAAACCAATAACCATAAAAACTACTCTTCAAGAAAATGAAGCAGAAACGATAAAAAGAAAAAATTTAACTACAA